CTATACCCTCTCCCCCAAATTATACTTTGTTTTTAAACTATATTTTCATTAATATAAAACAACTTTTGAAAAAATAGATGGGAATCTTCAAACAATGAAAGTGATGTGACAGGTTCCTAGCCCAGAAGAATTGCCCAGCCAGCCCACAAAACTGTGAGAAACAACACATGCTCGTTTTAAACCACAGTGTGTTCAGACTGTTTGTTATACAGCAAAAGCTGTCTGCTGCAGAGGGCTGCTTGCTCAGGACGGGTTATTTACGTGTGTTCATCTCCATTCCCCAGCAAAATCCTAAAACTCCCTGCGGTAAAAGGGAAGCAATGAAAAGGGGATGAACCATAGAGACATTGAGAACAGGAACAAAGACAAAAGCAGATGAGAGATGTCAACAAGTTTTAAGAAGATGGAAAGTTGACAGAGGTGTGTAAGTGGCTCAGCCAGAGCAGGGGCAGCTGTCACCTGAGTCCTGGGGTGGTGTGTGTGTGTGTGTGTGTGTGGATGCAGTGGGCTCCCTGGTCGGCAGCAACCCGGGAAGTTACCGGAGGAGGTGCTGGGTGCTGCAAACCAGCAGCGCCAGTGAACAGGTTACGCACCAGGCTGTCAGAGCCCAGGTCCTCTCCCCGTCCTGCACAGCCAGTGGCTAGCAACCAGTCCTCTCACTGAGGGAAACTGAGGATTTATCACTCTGAGAAATGCCATCAAACAGAATCCAGACTCAGGACTCCTCCGAATAATGAAGCACAGAAGAATGAAGTGAAAGTTGGCACCCTAAACATGGGACCTTAGTCGCCCTCCCCAGCAACACCTTACGAAACTTACGAACCTCCGGTGGTCCTGAGGAACCACACAAGGGTGAACACCACCGAGACTCACCCCACCCGCTGCTGGCGGCCGCTGGCACAGCCTTGCCCACTCGCTCCACTCGCCTCAGGGCACCTAACTGGCTTCTAGTGTCCCGAGTAAAGATGAACACAGACGGAGGCCACCCGAACGTGTGAGGACGAGCCTCAACGTGAACATGGAGACCACACAAACAAAACGCCAGAGAAGAAGAAAAAGGAACTCAAAGAAAGGAGACACAGCACAGGAAACAGAAGACATAATGTCTTCAGAGTCGAGAGCGAGAGGATAGCGCATCCAGGAAACACAAAGATGCTTTAAGAACAGAAAAGGGCTCTTACCAACAAAGTGAGAACTCAGATGAAAGTTTCAGCAAAATGAATGGAATTTAAAAGCGAGAAAATCACCCAGAAAGTAAAGCAAAAAGACAATAAAATGGGCAATAGGAGAGAGAACGTAAGGAAACAGGGGCTCAGCCCGGGGACGCCTGGTTCACAAGGCGCTGCAGAAGGCAAAGGGGAGAGCAACACTTCTGTTTTTTAAATATAAGAAAATCCCCCAGAACTACAGGCCACAAATTACGTGTGATGAGTGAACATCACATTATTACAAACTTTTAGAAGACCAGGACAAAGAGAAGTTCTGAAATGCTAGCAGGATTAAAAACGGCGGGCTTCATACAAAGAACACCGCGCAAGCTCAGCAGAGACCCTGCAAGCCGGACGATGGCGATGTCAGCCTCCTGAGAGGTGGCCCAGCCTGGGATCCGTCACCGCGCCCAGCAGCCCGGGTGGCACGCGGCCAGGACACTCTCAGGTCCCAGGGACTTAGCGGAGCTTGTGCTCTGCCAAATGGAAGAACGAGAGAGAGGAGGCCGCAGAGGAAAGCTCTCGGGGAGAAGTGAGGGAGGCCAGGGCAGCGGCGGGGCGGGGACTCGCGGGAGATCAGTGGATCACCCGAAGCATTTGATGGAGAAAAACATGGATGGAGGGTTTCAGTTGACACGTTAGAGCAAGTGAGAAGGAACAGTTCTAGAAAATTAAGCAGTTCAAGAAAATTAAGTGAAAAGGGCAACTTGAAAAACTACATAAAGAAGTAAAAAGAAAAAAATATGCCATCTAGTACATTTCTTGGCTCAGTGTAAAATAGTCATAATAATTTAAGCACTATTTTCTTAATCTTTTTCTTTTGGTGGGGGAGGTCATTAGGTTTATTTATTTATTTGTAGAGGTACTGAGGATTGAATCCAGGACCTCGTGCAAGCTAAGCGTGCGCTCTACCACTTGAGCTACACCCTCCCCCCACTGACTATTGATTTTAACCAAAAACATGATTCAGCTTTTGGAGTAAAGGGGAGCGGAGTGGACAGTGGGTGAGAGGAGGTAAGAGGGTCCACTTCCATCTACCGTGGTAGGTTTTGAAACAGATGAATCAGGAACAAGCAGGAAAAAAAAAAAATTAAAGCTTTGGAAGCCACCAGAAAAGAGCTAAAATATTTAAAGTGGTTCATGGTCTCTGGACACTGGTCTGGGGAGGCCAGGGAGACTTGCTGGAAGTGGTCGTGCGTGATCTAACTGGTAAACCGTGTGCCTCTGGTAAAATAAAATGAACGTTGAAGCAGGAGTTCTGAAGACGTGGAAGTGAAGACTCACTGACCTTCTGTCTCAGCGCGTGCGTGTCACTGGAGATGAACTCAATCACGTACGGCATCTCGATGGACATGCTCAGGGAAAAGCTACCAGAAACGAGGACAAAGCCGGCTTAGTCGAACGTCTTAAATGTTAGACAACTGCTTGTAGGTCTTTTACACAATTTTAAGTGGAAATGAAAAGCATAAAGCGAACGTCCGTTGAAGGGTTAACTGACAGGCTTTGTATTTTAGGTGCTGACCTTTGCTTTGCTCCTATTTCCTTTACATAAATCTTCTCTACTGCATCCTGTTGAAAGAAAAAAATATACAAATAAGCATCTGCTAAGGTTCACCATGAGACTCCAGGCTGAGTTAATGCCACCAGAGCCACAGCCAAGGGACGGCTGGTCTCACTTTGGACTCACTTTGTCACGAGCATCTGCTCATGGATGGACAGTAACTTAAAACGCAGCTGACACCAGGGATGGTGTGTGGCCATTTTACAGAGATTTCAGCCATACATGTGTCTGTGCGCACACACGCACACAAGTGCACACATGCGCACACACCGATGTGCAACATGTACACGCATGCACACACGTGTACACACAGTACAGTGCACACATGTGCACACCCATGTACACACGTGCACACAACACACAGTGCACACGTGTACACACACACAGCACACACGTGTACACGCAATTTCTACAGACACACACAGAGTATAGTCTGGAAGGATTTACACCAAAGCGCTACCCAGAGGTTGGGCTACCATCTGTGGCAACGGAATTAAGGACGGTTTAAATTTCCCCCTTTGGCTTCTTTGCATTCTTTATGTTTATCTAAATACTCCACAATGAGCATGGGGTACAGACACAAAACTTTAAGTGAATAGAATAAAAACAGAACCGCTGAGCACATTAGGGTGTTTATTCTCTTCATTTCACAGACATTACATGTGTCTAAACATGAGAATGTCGCTAAAATTGACTTTATGCCCAAATGATTAGGTTATTTTAGGTAATTTTTTCTTCCCGATGCATAACTCACACAAAAAAAGCTGCTTTACATCTTACCCTACGCGTACGAACCTGCATGTTTTCGTTGAGAGCTCTGTCCCGCCGCCAGGGCGCCACGGTGCCAGGAAGGAAGAAGACCGCGCAGGCCCCCTGGGCGCTGAGCTCTGTGATGTAGGTGATTTTGATAAGGACCTTAGCTTTGGGAGGCAAGTTCCCAACACTGACGGTAAAAACGTCCTGAAACAGAAACATGTCACCTCGCTTGTGCCTCAAAAGCCTGTGTTCCCTGCTGCTTAGTCCCTCCTATTACAGAAACACCGGGAATTGCAACCTGCCTGGTCCTTCCTCAGAAAAGGGAAGCAGCCTACAGGGGAGTCCCAGAGCCTGTCCCCAGCAGGGGACAGTGTGGCGTCCACAGGGGGCTTAGGGAGAGCAGGTCCCTTGGCAGCAGGATCCTACCCCTCAGAGAGCGTCACCTGGCGTCACCTCTGCCCCCTGCACACGGCCCCCCTGTGGCCACAGCACCCAGAGCGGCTCCACCGGCGGCTGCAGACCAAGAGCCGTCTTCACCAGCTTGGCCCTCACTTAATTCTTTCATCTTATGGAATAGTCATCATTTTATTTTTCAGAAAAGGTATTTTGTTTTCTTTCCGTGGGTATGGATAATCACTGCACCAGGAAACAACTTCATGACTAGCTGGGTCAGGGAAAGAGGGGCTGGATGGATTTTTTCGAGAATCTCTCGACCTACCCCCCATCCAGCACAGCCCCCATTCTACTTAGTGCCTTTAGATTAACTATAACATTATTATCACGCAGACTTAAGGCGTACATGGTTACTTTTGACATCAAGGACACCCACTTGCAGGGCGGGGATAAACAGCACTCGGCCCTAAGAGAAGTGTGTGAAGGCCGGGGGATCTTCTGAGACGCCCTTGAGCGTGTGGGGTGGCAGGTCTGTTGTAGGATCTAGAAGGTGCAAGACGCCCCTTCCGTCACGTCGACCCAGATAACCTACAAAATCCTAACTTGCCCTGAACCCGTCAGACAGAAAGCTGAGCTGCAAGCAACCAAGTGAACTGAGTCCCACAGAGTTAGGAGGACGGAGGGGGCATGCGTTTTGGGGTAACTGGGACCCCAACACGGGGGTCTTTGACTCCCTCAGAATCTTTTCTCCACAGGAGCTGGGCACTCTCTCCAGCCGTGGCTTTGGCCCTGAAGTTTTCCCTTTGTTTCTCCATGAACTTTTTATCTAACTCTCCTGTGACTTCCCTGCTTACATACGGGGTTGCAAGGTCGGCCTCCGTCTCCGGACAGAGCACACTGAGGGCTGTGAGAGGGACGTGCACTGTTGGTAGGAGCGGAGAGCAAGGCACCAACCTGGGGAAAGGCACGACAATGCTTAAGCTAAAATTTTAAAGCTGATTTTTAAAAATCGAGCAAGCAAGCAGAGTTAGAGCATTCTGCCAGAAGAGCAAGGGCCTCCGCAGACGGTGCTGTCCGGGGAACGTCAGGGCACTCTGGCGGCTGGGTGTGGAGGGAGGAGAACGGAGAGTGACGAGGCCGCATGAGCCCGGCCCCGGCGTCCCCCGTAACCGTGGGAAAAACGTGGACCCTCAGGTAAGTGACGGGTTAGGGAAGGCGCTGACGCGGGCGGACTCCGCAGACGTCTGCTAGGAAACAGACGAGCACCTGGAGGCGGGAGGGCGGGGAGGGGATGGCAGAAGCGAAGGCCGGCTCCCAGGTGTGCGGTGTGGCCGGTGGGTCCCTGGCGAGCCTGCTTCTGAGGCCACGGCAACAGGAGGGGCAGTTTGGAGGGAAGCGAGTGGACACAGCAGGTGTTCCTCCCTCCAGGTGCCCCTCGTTCCAGCCCTTTCGAAGCAAATAGCCAGAAGGAAAGAGCCTGGACCAGCTCGGGACCTGCAGAAATGCCTCCTGAGACACAACCTGGTGACACTTAGGTGAACAGCTTGGTGAGCTTATTAGTTCCAGGGAAAACGTCAGAAAATGAAAATCACCTGTCCCAGTGGCTCCTTTCTGTTGTCACTTCTGGGAAACTCAGCTCCCAGTGACAGAAATAGCTCTTACTCATTTGCTATCTTAACGCCATTTCCTCCTTTATTTAAATAAGTCAGATGTGTCCGACCTCCCTTCACTAACAGCAAGTGAAACTCTAGGGCCTAAAAAAGCAAGAATTATTCCAGTTTCTAGGACGACAAATTTCTTATCCCAAATCAATTTCCACCTCTCCCCCTTTCTCGGAAGTACACGGGACTAACAGACGACGGCGGAGACCTACAGGTGCATCCTGGTCCATCAGGTACGCTCCGTGGCCTCGGCTGACTGCTTCTCGGTACTCTCGGTGGGCTGTTTCCTTCTCTTTTACCTGGAAAAGATTATTTACACCAGTCATACTATGAATCGTGATTTCAGACCTTAAAAAGGAAAATTTCATCAATGTTTATTAAAACCACGTTTTTGACATCTTAATCTTTCTGCTAAAAAACAGAAAACTAAGCGTCTAAGACGAATGGAAACTTATCTAAAGTGGTCACAACGATGTACTTATCTCATACAAGTCTGAATCAGAAAAGGCCAAAAGAGGAGAATTCTCCTTAAAAGTTTTCACAGAGTCAATAGCGAGAAGAAAGTTTGGGACTTTACACTGAACAAAAAAAGAATAAATTAAGTTTATCTTAAATCTGATATAATGTGAGGGTTGCAACTGTGGGCTAATCTCAGCATAAACAAAAATGAATCAACTTATTTCTTTTGGTACAAATTTTCTTAAAAGGTTACAACAGCCTTCACTTCAGCCTGACTTTGACGGCAGGCGCCAGAGGCTCAGCTTCCGCAGAAACGCATCAGGCTTTCGCCCGCTTTTCAACGTGCCGCTCCAGCTTCTGAAGTGCGTCGGCAGAGGACCCGCCGGGTGCTGCCCGCTGCAGACTGGGCAGTGGGAGCAGAAGCCAGGTCGTCAAGGAGGGACCCCGAGTGGAGGCTGGCAGGGCCTGGTTCTTCAGAGGATACTCGCTTTGTGACGAGGCCGCTCTGCACCCTACAGCCACGGAACTGCGGAAGCGAACTCGGGTGAGCAGAAAACAGAAACCCCAGAGCAGTCGTGGGACCCCTTACCTCTCCCACCACGTGCCTCCCGCCGATAAACGCCTCGAACCCGCACACAGCGGCCTTGTCATCCAGGGGAAAAACGTACTTTGCCTCGATGGGCACGTGACTGTGGTTTGTGTACGTCTGAAAAACAACGACCTGGAGAAGGAAAAGCACACATACTCTGTGAGACCAGGTGGAGAGACACTCGCAGGGACAAGGGTTGATGGACGTGGTTCGCACACGAGTCCCCAGAGGTCAGCCTCTCTGTCCACTTTGCGGTCTCTGACACCACTTCATGTGACTGGGCACCCAAAAGGGAAGACATTTCCGACAACAGGATAAAGGAGTTTTACTCGGACTCAGAACGGACACTAGCGCACCACACACGTTTTTGATGTCTTAATCTTTCTTCTTCAAATGGAACCACTGGTTTAGTTTAGTTTAAACTGAAAACATTAAACTCATTCCGACAAATCCAACGTGGGCCATGATGGGCAAGGCCCCTGCTGCCGGGCCCTGCCTGGACGCTCAAGGCCAGCCCACAGGCTGCTGACCCGACCCCAACGCGGAAAGTTCACTGCTAACTCTCGAGTTCCCTGGGGGCAGAGCTCCCAGCGGGAACAGCCTCATCAGATTAGAAGTAGCAGCCGGCATCCAGCCAGAAGTGACGTCCAGAGGACGGAAGCCCCACTCACACACGGGCTGAGCTCTTACGTCGTAAAAGGAAGATGTTCTGATCCCACTACTCAGCTCCGTCATTTTCTCTGTCAGCCTCCCAGTTCCTTCCTCCACTTTTCTCTGGAACTCACTCTAATTCAGCTCTCTCCCCCCAGCTCCTTCGAAAGGTGGCTGTCCAGGCCTCACTGCTGAGTCCAAGGGCCACGTCCAGCCCAAATTTCACCGGGTCCCCCAGCAGCTTCGCCGGAGTAGACCGCTCCTTCCTCCTTGTTTGTCCTTCTGGAGAACCCACTCTCCTGCTGTGTCACTGGCGGGTCCCTACCGGGCCCCTTGCTGGCTTGGCCCCCGCTCCCTGGCTCCACCGTCTTACTGATCTCTGTGGTCTTGTGACTTCAAACAGCATCTGATGCTGGTGACCCCCACCGGGAGTCAGCTCTTTCGACATCTAGACTCATAAGCAGGCGCCCACTTGATCTTCCATCTGGACATCGGCACCTATGTCACGTGGCCAAAGGTGACCCCACAGTCCTCCTGCCACCCACCACCTCATGCAGACGCGCTCCATCCTCCCAGGTGCTCAGGCCCCAGTCCCTGACGTTGCACGCCCGTCAGCGAGACCCCTGGACGGCCACCACCCCGTCAGGCGCGGCCCCGCGTCCCACCCCAGCTCTGGCACTTTGGTCCCAGCCACCGTCCTTGACTCAGTTTCCTCAACGTCACCCGCACAGATGCTGTGTTCACCCCCTGGCCTCGCCCAGGGTTCTGGCCTTCCCCAGGGATGGCCACAGACAGTGACTGGTCCCCGGGGTCAGGGCACAGAGCCGGGCCCCCTTCCTCCATTCAGAACATCTCTGGGATGTCGTCTCCCTCTGGGGCCGTCCGAGGACTCCACCGTGTCACACCCGCCAACCTCTCCCCGGGGTCCCGCCTCCCTTGCTCTCTTTCAGGTGTTGTTCCCAAGAGCAGGTCCTAACAAGCTCCCAGAGAACCTGACCTCTGTCTCCTAACCGGCCCTCCTCAGGCTGTTCCCAGCACCGCAGCCTGCGTGACCCCTTAGAACACACACCACTCCTCGGCAAACATCTCCCAGAGGCTCCCAGTTCACTGAGTTAGGGGCAGTCCTGATGAGAGCCACCCTCCGCCTCTCCCACCCACAGTGGGAGACCACAGTCCCTGCTCTGCTCTGGCCACAGTGGCCTCCTTGGGGCCCCTTGACCACATCAGGCCCACTCCCGTCTGAGGGCCTTTGCACGTGCCGTTCCCCTCTGGGAATGAGCTGCCCCTTGATGTCCACACGGCCCAGACCCCTGCCTCCTGCCCGTCTGTGCTCAGTGAGGCCTTCCTTGGCCATCCTGTTCACAAGCTTGAAGCCCTCCTGCTCTGGTTTTCCATGCCAGCACCACCATCTAACGCACCATGCGTTGTATTTATTTACCACATTCACTGCCTAGTCGGGCTCTCTGAGGGCAGAGCTTTCGTGCTGTTCCTTGCGGTCGGTAGGCCTGCATCCCAGAACAGTCCCGGGCATGCAGTAGGTGCTCGAGGGATAAAGGAATTTTAGAAATGCACGTTTTGTTTAGTTCATGCAACTGTAATCCAGTTCGCACGGACGAGTCACACTACTGGGTTTAAGCACCGTCAGGCCATAGAGCGCACACCTGGGCTACGAAGTCTATTATCTTCCCCTTGATGTGAACATCCTCAAGAGGAACCACGTTCCCCGCGGGGTCCTGGAGGCCGGCCTGGACGTCGGGAAAGGGCTTGGAGTCTGGTAACTGGTGATCTGCACGGTGGAAATGTGGGTGTTAGGGTTTAAAGCCACCTCTGACTGTCTATTTTTATCTTGATCTTTACTCCTTTCCCTTCCCTCCAAATGTTACATTTTAGGAAAAATGAACAAATGGCGTTTATGATTTTTAACAGCTAATTCTGAAAGGTGAACTCACAAGAGAAAATGGGGCAACATTCTCAGGAGAGAGACTGCCTCTTTAACCTGTTGACTTTGAGGAGTCAGCCTGAAAATTCAGAGTCAGACTAACACTTAGAAGACATGCATTTAAACATATACAGCAAGTACACAAAGGTCTTAAGAATAAGTAAGTGTATCTTAGCATGAACCCAGGTTTCTGCGTTCCCTGGCCTGTAACCGTGAATTGGGCTGTCACCTTCGTTCACCGCGCCACAGAAGTTGGACCCACTGGAGGCCCCTGGATCTCAGTCCAGGGAAACCCACGTCCTCACACAGCAGACTGAGAATGTCCATGACCAAACTAGGTGTGCAGAAGTGCAGGCACGCTTAAAGCTGCAAATACACACTCTCGCCAGACCTCTCATTCAGCGACTCCCAGGGCAAAAATCAGAGTCACCTTCTGGTATGTGAGGTCACACATTTCTGATAAAAAATAACTTGATCACAGTTTAAATGTTAATGTGGTTTTTAAAATTCTTTTTATGTTAATGTGTTTTAAGTGCTGTCAATCAATATCCTGCTAGTTTGGGCTCATGATGCTCTGAGACGCTGTGACTGTCCCACACGTGTCCTACTGCTAACACGGAGCCCACACGGCAGGTTTGGAGCACCCTCGCTTAATGGAGATGGTGGTCTCCCTCCCAGAGGAGAGAGGCTGAGCCCAGACAGGCCACGTGGCTCGTCCGGGGCTACGCAGCCTTGTTAGTGAGGGGCAAGCTTCCTGGTTCTAAGGCTGCACCTCGGTCTCGTCATGCACCCTCATGACTACACCTGTGCACGCTGGCACCTTAAATTGGTCAGGGCAGCGCTGATCGCCCTGAAGCAGCTGCGCTCGGCTGCCAGGTGCTAATGAAGCAGCACATGGTTCTGAGATCACCTCACCTCTCTCAAGCACCTAGGCTTCTATATTTACAAGATAGAAAAAGAAATGAAGTGTTCATGCAAGTGGTCATAGATACAGTTACCAAACGTGAATACAAATTTCATGGAAAATACAGTGTTTGCGTTCTGTAAACATCACATAAAACAAAACTGTCTTACCTTCAAGCCTAGAAAACTTTGGAAACTCAGGTCTGTATTCTTCTAATTCAGTATTACCACACGGATGAAAATCCTTTACTTCATCTCCAGGTATACAAAACTTAACAATGTATTTCATTTTCACCTGGTTGGTTTTATATACAACAAATTCATCATCCTAGAACAAACAAATTAATAGGTGGGGGGAAAACCTTTTACAGGCAAACGTTTTCATACAAGCAGAATTTCATGTTTGCTAATTTAGAAAATGTTGAATTCATTCAAAGGTAAATGTATTCAATACAAACAGGAGCCTCTCCGCTTCTCAGTAGAAGTACCTCAAAGTCCGTGGGGACAGCGGCTGTTCCGCGAAGCCCGTGGACGCTGTCATAACCGGGTGGAGCTTCCGTCAAGGAGAAGTCTTTCTCACGCAGGTCCGCGCACCTCCCCAGGGCCACGTCGCAGACCACCAGGAGCCTGGTGCCATCCGTCTGTCCTGGGCGTGTGTACTTGGTGCTCGTACTGTGCGTGAGAGGGAATAAACACACGCGTGCCTTAGCCCACAGCTCCGTGGCGACACTGACTGACCACGCGCACAGGGAAGCTAGTATTCAGAGGACGCCGCTGGTACAACAGTCCCAATTTCACTGTTGCTGAGATGTCTCCAAAGAGTCCATCTAGAAGTTTATTATTCACATGTGTACTTGGAGTTTCACTGTCAGGAGCACATACCGCCCTCCCGCGTGCTCACGGCGCTCAGTGCTTTGTTCCAGGGACACGGGGACCCCCTGCTCCTGCAGGTCTTCACTGGCTACCAAGATACACAGGAGGAAAAAGTAGACTGATTCTCGGCACTAAAGCTCAGAAAGACCATTAAGCGCCAAGTAAGAAAGAACTGGTCAAGGGATGGGCAGCGCTGCGCTCCCCGAAGCCCTCCGGATCCAAGTAGAAAAACAAAATTTCAAGTGATGCCCGAACGAGAGATCCTGTCTAACTTTCTTCAGGAACCAGCAGCCTTAATGAAGCAACTTGTGTGTCAGGGGCACAGCTGGGACACCTTTGGGAGCACATCTTTTTGGGGACATACCTCTAACACTTGCACTTCTGTTTTTAATAATCAGTTTTCTGTTCCTCCCACACACCTCTCTTCCCTGTAACTGACAAACGTGGGACCCTGGCTTTGCTCCCGCCCATCCTTGCCTGGCTCCGCACCCCCCGACCCCCAGTTCAGCAGCTGTCTCTCTGGCCCGTGTGCGAACCAGCCTGCAGCCCCCTGCTGTTTGGTCTGCTTGTACTTCCTTACTGGAACCCCTCTGTGCACAGTCACTGAGGACGTCAGTTGATTAAATTCAAGTACACGCCAGTTTACTTTTTGAAAAATACCTCAACATAGAAAAATTTTTACTTTGGAATGTTTTGTACACAGGAAAGAGCTTCCGTATCATAAACGTTAAGTCTGGTCGCAGCTGCCGCCCAGTTCAGGAAACAGACCATGGGCAACGTTCCTACACCGCCCCACGCGGTCGCCTTCCCCGCACCCGGAGGGCACCTCGTCACCGCCCGGGCTTTCGTGTGTGTCACCCTGTCTTTAACCATGTTGACTTGCAGGAGTGTGTCCCTCGGTAATAACGTTAGCTCTTCTTGTCTTTGCACTTTGCACACAGAGTCCCACAGCAGTTGCTGCTCCACGCTCTGCCCTGAAGCTCACCCATCTGACACGCGTGGCTCTAGGGCACTGGTTTAAACTGCTGCGTAGGGAGGACACCACGTGGCCACACCAAGACTCATCAGTCCACCCGCTGTCAGATCACGTCCCATGAGCGCAGTCGTTTCTGCACCCTTGCTGGTCTAGGAAGACAAGCCTCACCAGGCAAGGCAGTGATGCTCAGCCCAGACTATTACAATCACCCAGCGAGCCGAAAACCTACTGGATCTCGTCCAAGATCCCGCGTTAGCTGATCCGGGGTGGAATCAGCACCCATGCTGTCTAAGGCTCCCCGGGGCGGTCCGGGGCGCAGCCGGGATGGAGGAGCCCTGCTTCCTGGCTCACTGGCCCATCCACAGATCCCCGAGCCCACCATCAACTGCGTTCGTCAGCTCTCCCAGAAAATGCCCAACCTTCCTCTAGAGGGTCTATCAATTTACACAACAGCGTCTGGAGATTCACCAGCACCTAAAGGTGCTGAACTTTTTTGTCAATATGGTAAGTGTGAAATGGCCTCATTATGGTTTGATTTGCAAGTGACAACCTCCATTGAGTCTGTTTCCTTTTCATAAAATGATCTCACAACACCAGCTGTGAGGTGTTCAGACCACGCACTTGAAGCATGTAGCCTGGTGCTTAGAAAGCTCCACACTCTGTGGCTGTAATGAGGACAGACGTTAATGAGGATGTTGAAGAAGAAACATTCCAGACACAAAGATCGTGGGTAGCAGACAGCCTGTTCAGGAGAGAGCTCACGTGCTGTAGAAGTTACGATTGCTGGCTCTGCAGGACGACAAAGCTCTGTGTGGCCTCTGGCAAGACACCCCCACTGCCCCCCAGGGTCCCCGACTGCGAGACGGGACATCAGCAGGACCGACGCAGGGCTTTGCTGTGAGGACGGAGTGAGTAAATATAGTGGAAAGCTCTTAGGATAGTAAAATCACTGAGGTGATTTCAAGTATCTTTTCCCAAATATCCACTGCAAGATAGGCTTCTGCAAAACTGAGAAAATCGGTTGCTTTAATCACCTGTTCAGTGAGAAACCCATCACTGAGGGAAGACAGAGGACAACACAGAGCAAGGGCTCCGTCGCGGCTCCCCGGTGATGGGCTAACAGGGTTGAGGAGGTGGCGCGCTGACCTGAGCGAGTCGCTGAAGTATATTCCACTCCCGAGATTTCCGATGTCTGTTCTCTCCACGCCACGATCTTCAACGGCTTCGGGTAAAAGCAACCCACTAAAAAAAGAACCGTATAATGATTTACTAGAGAAAAGGAATCTTTCATTATAGCCTCATAATTCTAGCAGGGACAGGCACTGTTTAAGGACGTTCTGCTCAGTGAAATAAGCCAGACACAGAAAGACAAATACCGCATGACTCCACTTATGTGTGGAATCTAAAAACGTCAGACTCACAAAACCAGACAGTAGAACGGTGGTCTCTGGGGGCTGGTGGGGGTGGGAACGAGGGAGGCTGGTGAAAGGTTACAATGCTTCAGTTACCAGGGGAGTAAGTTCTGGGGACGTGGCATGCAGTAAGGGGACCGCAGTGTGAAAGCCTGTGGTCCATATTTGAAATCTGGGGAGAGAGTAGATCTTGTGTTCTCACCACCAGGAAAAAAGCTAAGTCCACGAGGTGACAGACTGTTAACTAACTTGCCTGTGGATGTCATTTCACAATGTATCTGTACATCAAATCATCAGTTGTATAACTTAAACATACACAACCTTTATTCGTCAATCATATCTCAATAAAGCTGAAAATATACACTAACTAGAAGACAATACATAAATAATTCGCATGAAAATGAAAAGAAAAATGTGTTTCAAGTTAACCCCACGGGAGGAACTCCAGGTGCCATGAAAACGGACCAAGCCAAGGCTGGTCTCCCATCCCTGCGCTGACCTGCCCGGGCTGCCCAGGGGACATGGCTAAGCCAACTTACACGGGCTCCCCAGACCTCCACCCTCTCAGGACGCTCTGTGATCAACAGTGACTGTGCTGAAATCTGGGAAGGCGGGGAGGGAGACATCCGCCTTTTATTACATCTGCACGTTGAATTCTGTACTGTCAAATGGAATTCATTTTGTGAAATGGTCTTTGGGATTTAGACCTGCTCAAAGGGGTAGTGGGATCTTTCCTACTCAAAGATTATTTTTACAGTTTTATTTTAAATGATAAAATCTTTGCTCTGTGTGGAGCTGAAGTGCGAGGAAGGAGGTAAGGATCCAACTTTGTAAGAAAATACAGCCCTTCCGTGGAGATAAAAGCCACTCTCATCACACATGTAGTTCCCTACGGTTCTCGGTTTATCCGTGGGTTCTTTATCCCGTTGAGTTGTCTGTTTTTGCACCACCTCACTGCTTCACTCAGTAAAGCTTTATAATCTGTTTTTAATGCCTGACTGGTTGATCTTCCCTTAATATTCTTACCCTGGTAAAGTCAAATTTAAAAAAACATGCTGCGGAGTCAGCTTTTCATTTCTTGTTAGGAGCATTACTGTGATGGCGCTGCACGCAGAGGCCAGTTCCAGGAAGACCTGCGTCCTTCCGGGTAGCGTCTTCTGGGTGCGTCAGCAGCAGTTAGAGCTTTTCTGGTGGATCTGATGTCTCTCTTTAAGCTTCTTCAAAGGTATTCAACTAAGGATCCAGATTTACTCACATTCCCCCCGCTCCCCACGACCTCCATTGCAGCCCCAGTGCTGGCTGGTTATTCAAAGCAGATGGTTACAGTCACGCCTTGAATTCCCAGTATCTGGGCACTAATTTCTAGCACGTTCCTGGACTAGATACAGAGAAGGGGGGAGTCAGCACACAGAGAGCCCCCTTTCTTCACAAAATACAGTCTTCAAGAAGCGTTTCACAGCCATGCACTCCTCTTTAATAAGCACACAACTTAAATTATACATTCAATTATAATTCACAGTGTTCAGTTTTGTCTGGAATCCAATAAGCTGGCTGGTTTTAATGGAAGACACCATGTCGTTTACATAAAAAGGAAACCCTTCACCTGTCTGAGGCTGAAAACTCTGGAAAGCAAAAAGTGGCACGTGCTTACCGGGACAGGATCCCCACGAAGCTCTGCACGGGAGATCCGTGCAGCAGGGCCTTCACGTTGCCAAGCTGGCTCAGAAACTCCGTGGTTTCACTCACTCGGCCAACTCTAAATATCTGCAAGATGTTCCCTGGACTCTTACTGTAAGAATCAGAAGAAAACCTTGAGACTACATGATTGAAGGCAAAGTAAAAAACTGTTATTAGCAGCAGAAAACCCGAATTATTAGAGAACTTACTCAATGACTCACAATGCAACATGTCTTGGAAATACTATGCAGCCACTGAAGAAATCACACTCTTAAAAATAAATAAGGATACGAAGAAAACTTACAGTACAATAAGCTTTAAAAGAGGGTTACAAAACCTTACGTACAGCGTGACCCCAAATTTTGTCAAATCCGTAATGTACGGAATAAACAACCTGAATAAGCTCACTCATTCACTCGTGCATTCATTCAACAAACACACTCTGAGCCGAGTGCTCTGCCAGCGCTGGAAATAAGATCGCACCGTCTCTGCCTTGTGGAGCTCATGTTCTCACCAGAGAGACAGAAATCAAGAACTCAACAACACCTACTCCTAAGTGTGGCTGAGAAAGCCATCCAGGGTCGGAGAAAGCGGCCAAGGGGGCCTTTCTTTGGAGTGGTGTTTAAGGGAGGCAGCAGAATCCAGTCCATCTGCTACGCTCTAAGCGGTCATTTCAGGGAGATTAACGGGACGGGGCAGGTGCACAGAACGTCAGGGAGGCGGCAAGAAGCCAGGATTAAAGGCATTCTGGAGGCAGAACCCACGATGTGAGGGTGAGGGAGGAGGCGTCAGCAGTGGGTCTGGGTGACAGGGACGGGGAAGTGGAGGGCTGCCCAGCACCAGGTTTGGGGTGTGGAGGGGGGCCTGCCCAGCAAATCAGCCAGCTACAAATGACAGCCTTTCTTTCCAAGAGCTGGTCCCCAGCTCCTCACCGGGCGTACGTTCTACGCCAGAGGGCCAGCAGTGGTCCTGCCGTCTCTGGGCTACCTCTGGGTGGCAAGACTTGGGGTCATCTTTAATTTCTTCATGCTTTCACACATTTTCTAAACTTTTAGCAAAGAATATGAATTTTCTAACTAGAAATAATTATTATGAAAAAGTCATTATTAGTGACATGAAATGGAGAAAACCTAACTTTTCACAGCAGCGGAATCTCTTTGTAGGGAGAGGCCCACTTTTGCTGCATGAATTTTTCAGCATGTGGGTGGGGCTGAGGGCTCCAGGGGCCTCCGGGAGGGCATCACGGGGTTGACAGCACCCTCCCCAGGGCTTGAAGACGCAGCAGCTCTTTCCTTCCACCCCTGGAGGAAGCAGGGACCCCTCCTGAGCACGCCTCCACTGTTACCAGACTCTAGATACCAAGGGGAGGGTCAAAGTCAAATCAAATCAAGAAGTCAAAATAACCCAATTATATACAGAAACTAAGCCTGGAAAAGATCTGCAGGAAGGGGTTTTTTTAAACGAAGGTGAAATTCACATAACATAAAATCCACTGTTGTGAACACAGTTCAGTGTTATTTAGTGCATTCCGTGACTACCACCTCCACCCGACTCCAAACACCCCTCCCGAAAGGACGCCCACACCCACCCAGCTGGCAGGCTCCTGGCTCCCTCCCCGCCCCAGGGAGCTGCCTCAGTCTCCCTGGGGCTGACCTGTCTATTCCTCGTGTTCCACGTAAATGGACTTATGTGGCGTGTGATCCTTGGAGTCTGGCTTCTTTCACTTGTCAGGAGGTTTTCGAGGTTCACATGCTGCAGCAGTGTATCAGGACTTCACCTCTTTTATGGCTGAATAATACTCCATTGCACGTTGATGCCTTATATTGTTAATCCGCATGCTGGCCGGAAGGCCCTGACCAGTCAGCTTCCAGACCCTGGGCCATGGCGAGTCCACAGGGTGCTGACCAGCAGGGTCTGTCTCCGCTGTTCCACTGCTGCTGCCCCGGCTGCAGAAGGTGCGTCCACGGGAGAGAGTGGTCTGCGAGGAGATCCACGTCAGGGGCACTGTCCCTCTCAGCTTGTTTTCCGGGTTTCAGCTGTTCCCATGCCCTGGAGTGGCCAGTTTAGAAGCTGCCATGCCTGTATTTCTGCATTCTAACATCTTGATTTGAGTGGATTTTCCTACGCAATACCCTTCAGAATGCAAACAGTATTTGAGAATGTACACCAATAGTCTCCCATCTAAAGCTTTAAAATGTAATTCTCAGCAAGAGTAGGTAAACTCGAAATGGAGAGAAATGAAGTAGTAGGGAGTGCTTTCAAGCCCAGAATGTGGCCCCGAGCCCTGCAGCAGACACGGAGCAAGTCACTGCCATCACACCGCAATCATGCTGACGGCGGGCAACCACGGAGATCAACACCAACGGAATCTGAAACAGTGTCACACAAAGCAGACCCTAACACATTTCCCTCATGCGCACCTGTGGTTATTCTGCAGTAGCTCTTCTCTGACTCTGGAAAATTCTTCTGTGTTCTGCTCAACATGCTCAATGTGGCATCTCAAAGCTCGGTATTTGGCAAGAGGCGGCGGATTGGCTTTGGACAAATTAGTTTCACAGACATTAACCATGTCTCTGATTAGCTGTAGGTGGAAATGATTCACACATGTTAGAATTATCAAAATATTTATATTGTACTACACTTTCCCAAAAGCTTTTTTCCCCAAAGCATGAGACCGATACCTGCCTGGACTGTACGTGTGTTAAGGCGGACACAGTGCCTCAGTGACCGCATGATATAAGATGATAGTAACGGTGCCAGCAAGGACAAGACTGTTACGCAGGTGTGTTCAGGACGTCATTCCTTTCATCCACACCAGCCACTCGTCCTATCCAGTCTCACTGTCCTCACTGGGTGCACGGGCAGTGAGGCTCAGAGGTCCCCGCAGCAAGGACAGGGTGGTGAGCCAACAGGAGCTCAGACGGGCAGACTCCAAGCCTAACCGCCGTCACAAAACCTCACTTGGCGTGCTCTGCGTGCGTTGCATTAGGTGTGAAAGCTACAATGACGAATCAGACGCAGGCCTGCCCTGGGAGGGGACCAAGTGTCCTGCAGGTCAGGAGCTCGCATGAGGGGACACAGCTCCTGAATGGTCTGAGTCACATTTACTGTAGGGACTTGTTGGTCTCACATCTCTGAGACCAAAGAGACAGTGAAGGAGGTGTCTGCTGCCACCAGCGTGGGGAGGGGTTCTTAAACTGTAATTCAAATCCGCCAGCCATAAAAGACTGATGTATTTTTCCATAAAAGTAAAACATTTCTGTGTGGTAAAACAGAACAAGCCAACCGCCACCACAACCACCACACTCACCATAAGAAAAGAAAAATAAATAAATAAACTGCAGAGAATACTTGCAATTCACATCACAGATGAAGCTCCCTAACGTACACAGGTCCTAAAAATCACGAAGAAAACTATCAAGACCCAAAAGAAAAAGAGGTAGAGTTCATAGAAGAAGAAACACAAATGTCGCTTAAAATCTGGAGAGTGCTTGGGCTCTCTGCAGCAAGGGGCCGCTTCTCCCGCGAGCTTGGGAAGTCTGGAAGGTTGACAAACTCACCGGCTAAGAGGACAGGAAACAACCTCTCCATCGCTGACGGTGGGAGGGCAACACGGAACAAGTCCCGGAAGAGACAAAATGCGCCCCAGCTACAGATGCCCGTGTCCTTGCAGCTTGCGCTCCTGCCCCTGGGGCGTGTCTCAGAGACCCCCACCCCTGCAAATGTCTGAAATCACACATGCAGGGTATTCCCCGGGGCACCATTTGCAGCAGCAAAATCCAGGGACCAGAGCCACGTCTGGCGGGGGGTGTCCACCCGTGCACCGGGGACCCGAGCAAAGGCGCACCCGGTGAGGAGAGCGGGTGCCAACGGCAAAGGGAGGAAATGACTCTTCTGTAAAACAAGGGGAAGAGTACATGTGTATGTTCACATTCAGACTTATCTGCATGAAGCAATGGTGCACAGACAACAAGGTAACAGAAATGGCTGCCCGTCGTGGAGGGGAGCTGCACAGCTGGCGGGGACAGGGTGGGACAGAGGGGACCTTTTCGCGATTTTGACTGCTGAGTCAAACGGATGTATTACCTACAGAAAATACAGAATTTAAATTAACACTATTTGGGAGGCACCACACACGCCCTCTTAGCCGCAAAGCCGGCAGCTGAGGTCCTGCGTGTTGGGCGCCAGGGAGGTGATGGTTCTGACCCTGGTCCCTGATCTCCTCAGTCACTGGCTCATCTCATCTGCTGGCTCCTCAATTCCTCTGGACTGTAGACTCCTCTGGGAATCTGCGGGAAGTGTAGAACTTCCCCTCTGCAAACCCCTCTGAAGCCTGGAGGTCACGAAGCTCTGGATTTCTCCCAAGCCCACACCCAAGCCCAGAGAAGGCAGCCAGAGCCACACAGGGATGCAGGCCTCACCCAGCATGGGGCGGACACAGGAGCTGCCCTCATGCCTCCTCTTAGGACTGAGTCTGCCCCTCCCCCAGAGCTTGAGAGAGACCTAGCCAACTTCTGAGCACTCTTGGTAATTCTATTCGCCTCAACAGCGACTGGCTTAGGGACACACACGACTCAGTTCTGACCAAAGAAGTAAGAGTCTGACAACAGCCAAGACCTGGAAGCAACCCAAGTGTCCACCGACAGATGACTGGATAAGGAAGATGTGGTGTATTTATACAATGGAATACTACTCAGCCATGAAAAATAAAACAATGCCATTTGCAGCAACATGGATGACCTGGAGATTATCATACTGAGTGAAATAAGTCAGACAGAGAAAGACAAATATCATATATCACTTATATGTGGAAGCTTAAAAAAATGACACTGATTCTAGCTATAAACCAAAAACAGACTCACAGACATAGAAAGTAAACTATGGTTACCAAAGGTAAAAGGGGGGGGGTATAAATTAGGAGTTTGGATTAGCAGATACAAAATACTTTACAAAATAGATAAACAACAAGGATTTACTGTACAGCATAGGGAACTACATTCAGTATCTTGTAATAATCTATAATGAAAAAGAATCTGAAAAAGTATATATACTATATACACATATACATATGTAACTGAAACACTTTGCTGCATGCCTGGAACTAGCACAATACTGCAAATCAACGAGACTTCAATTAAAATTTTTATTTTTGGAAATAAATTAAGTATCTTGTAATAGCTGATGGTGAGAAAGATTACGAAAATGGATATACGTATATTCATGTATGACTGAAGAATTGTGCTGTAAAAAAATTGTTTTTTTTAAAAAGCCCTCTCTGCTGGGGGCTTCCTCCAAGAGACACAGACAGAAACACTCCAGGTGGGATGCTGTGAGCTGTAAGTGGATGGGGGACGGGGAGCAGCCGCGAGGGGAGCTGTCGCCCGCAGGAGGCACTGGACAGAAGCAGCGGACCCTGCTGACAACACTGCCTCCAGGTGAATGGACCACGGTGCCCTATACCTGACTCCTCCCCTGATCTGGAAAGTCACTTTGCAGCCTGTCAATGCTGACGCACGTGCACCCGCACCACGATTCCAACAGTCACGTGAGTGCACGGCTCAGGTCGCTTCTACAAACACTCAAATGGCCCCAAATGGCTCAATGAAAGTTTGTTATCGAGCAAACTCTGGAGGCAAGTTCTGTGGTTCAGTGTTACCTCAGTCATCAGATTTGAAAAGGCCCCACTTGACCCAGCAAATTTTAAATGGCATTCGTATTCCAGAGCCTCACCTGGCAGAGGTCCTCCTTCTTGGCCAGCAGGCTCAGGGTGACCCTTCCCGCTGCGGCGTCCCGGTGGGGGATCAGCCTGTAGAACTCGGTCATCATCGTCTGCAGTCGCTCCTGGGTCTCCCCGTTTTTCAGTGCCGCCTTTACTAGAAGGAGGGTCCCCTCGGCCTTGCTCACCTTTATATAGGAGGAGACATACGATTATTAAAACTAAAT